ACTCTACACAAGACTATTTACTTCTTCATCTGAATAAACTCTGTTCTAATTAAAATGTTAATATGTTACAACTATGCATCTAAAAACCTAAATTAGTAAGTAAAATATATACCATATAAGTGATAATAAGCAAAATTTGTCTTAAAGCTCTCAGCTTTGCTATCAATATAGTAATACTGCTTACTTGTTATGTTGTTAATGGATTTTACAGCTTTCTATTATGTAAATTGAATCGAAATTTATGAGAAAATTTTAAAATTCTAATATACCTGTTATTATGAAAGTTTAAAAATAACCCAGCTGGTAGGTAGAATTCTTCTCAGTAATGCTAGAAGCTTGAATAATTCCACTTAAAAATTTAAGAAATGTCACAAATGGACACAGAACAATAGTCAAATGCAATACTCGTTGGCTTTAAACAAATATATCGATTATACATTTGACTTTCCTCTTGACGTCTCCTATTTTTATATTTATGTTTCGCGAATCATTGTGAAGCCATTTTCAATGAATTGACTCATTGCATCATATGCTGATCAATAAATCTATAAATGCTAACACGACATTTTCCGAATTTCATAAAAGTATTCCGAATCCCATAACTGCATACTTATGCGGATTTGTGAAAGCGACATAACAAGAGGAATAGAAATGGTAATGCAGTATTACGTATTCTAAATTACATTGGCCATGCACAATTCGATAAAAACATTACTATGTGCTGTTTCACCGCACCAAAAAAAAGGAGTAAAAAAAAAATAGAGTAGCCAATTGTTTGGTCAAGTCACGAAGTTATCTTTGTTACTTTTTTCTCATCTACACCATGGAGGATATCACGGATGTTTAATTCTACAAAAGCAGAAGCGGGACTCTAAAATCAACACCATTGTTTCTTTAATTATTGATATTCGCTTTTTAATAGCCGATGCTGCACAGACACAATGGATCGTGCCGTCGCTATTAGAGCACCTATTGAAAATTTTCTGTTTCTCAGAGGGGTTATGAAAACGTGCGATTGTAAACATCACGCTTTTTTTTCTGTCCGTGGGAAAGGGTTTAGAGACTGACCACTATAAAATGTAAAGGTTTTAAAAAATGTTACACAGTATTTATTATTGCAGTAATAAAATATGCTAGTATCTAATCTAAACATAAGGAAAAATCATTACAATGAATAAATTATATATTATAAACAAAAGATTTTTTTCAAACAACTGAATGCGATTCATCTAAAACTTTTGTTTTTGTTCACTTGGATAAAATTTAATATGCCCTAGTAAAAAGTTTAACTAAGTAATCTGATATATGAGGGAAACTCATATAAGCCTACCTAAAAAATATATATATTTATTTTCCATTTTATTTTTATAGAACGTTATTGATATATGTACCAATCATGTAAATTCTTATCGTAATTTACATTTTGAGATTTCATTCAATTCTGTTGCGTTCATTGTAAAGAATGTATTAAAATTTTGCATGAGCTCTTTCAAAGCACTTATACAATTGGAAAATTAAAGTGCCATATATTAAGAACGGCTGAACTGAATCAAATTATTAAGTGTAACAACATGCAGTTAATTATTCTTAGAACTTCTATTAAGATTTTTAATTAATAAGACAATATTCTCTTCCTGCTTATCTGACTTCATTTATTATTTGCTGTTAATTTCAAACCGAAATCCTAATTTTTCAGTGTAATTTACTTAAATAGATTCGTTAGTATATGAGTTTAAAATTTTCATTTCCCCCTTATTTGAAACAACAATCAGCTTCTAACCCAAGATATGATCAAACATTCCAATGAACGAAACACTCTCCAAGTATTTTAATAAATAAATCATTTTAAATACCAAATATTTAAATTTTAAATTTTTTATAGCAATATTATTAATAAAGATATCATTACTTTGGATTTTTTTTTTGTTACTGTTGTAAATAAGTACTGTCAACAGAAAATTCTGGTTTATCTTCTTAAGAAAAATCAAATCAATATAAGAACTCCTGCTGAGTTATATAGCATTAGCAAGTACACTTTAAATTCCAGTCGTGATCGCTTGGTAGGGTTCTGCCTTCACATTTTCAGTTTATATGCCATGGAGAAAAAAATCTGTCATGCCATATTGGAAAAATCAACCACCTAGGCACCGCGGGCATGATGACCAGGCCTATCATATGGGTCATCGAGAAGAGGGCAGGGTGTGGCCCCCTGAGAGACAAGACTACTCCCTTCTTGCCCGGGAAGGATGGTACCAACGCCCAAAGACCCTACATCCCATCACACTTACTTTCGCTCTTTATACCACCTGAGTCCAGTCTTGAATCTACTTTTTCTTTGCCAATTTAAAGAATGGCAGGTAGAAGGATTAAAAAAGCTGATAAAATCAAAGATTTACGGGGTGTTTCCGAATGGGGGTGTATTCTAATGGATTGAAGTGAAGATGAATAGAGTTATGTTTCAAGAACTTGTATCATGATTGCGTGTAGAGCTTCAGTTGCATGTTCACAAATACTTGACACCGAAAAACTAGATGTCAATATGTTCATATTTTGATATGTATATATTCGCTTACTGAATAACCTAAAAGTATTAACTGTATAAAAAGGACTTAGACAATACTTAAGTATTGCTACGCTGATTGTATTCATATTGCACCGGAGGGAAAATATATAAGTACATACTCTGGAGTATTGTCATCGTTAATCGGAAGATTATATATATATATATATATATATATATATTATTACTCTATTTAAAACGTAACTTTGAGTTAATTCATCAGTCAGGATAAATCAGCAGTCAATTTGTATTGTTACTCATTTATTTTTGACAAAATAAGGGAAGCTCTATTTGAGATGTTTCCTTGAATGCAATTATTCTTACTTTTAATTCAAATATTTAAGAGTATATTTGTCAGGATTGAAGTGAAGCATTCTTCTAAAACCCATAATCCAACTGCTTTGTGATGTTATTTCATTGTCAGTCACATTTCAGCAAATTTTGAATAAAACATTAAATTTTTTTTAACATAATTTCAGCATCTCCCCAAATAGGTTTATTTAAAAAAGTAAAGGAAATTTGAAATGCTGATTAAAATTAAAGAGCAGGAAATTGTTTTCATAATCATGTACAAATTATCAACGTAATTATTTATAAATAAGTTTCATTTAGACTTGACCTCTTGATAATTTTTTTTTACAATATGTTAAATATTATTTAAAATTCATTACAGTTTTCATAATTTAAACTTTTATACCAATGTATCGATAATTTTAAAAATATTTCATGATCTGCATTTTATTTTAGTGAAATTTATACACCTTATTAAATTTCAACACACTTTTTCGTTTTTTTTTTTTTTTTTTTTTGCATTAAGACATTTTTTAAAATTTACAATTTAAACGAAATATGCGAATAATTTTTAAATAAATTTGTAAAATATGACATTGTTCAAAAACCTTACAAACACACAACAACCAAAAATTTTATTTTCCTCTTGGGTCATTCTATCACATTATTTGAGAATGTTTGTAAATAACTTTTTTTTTACAGTCATCATAAGATCTCTCAAATATGACTGAATAGCTCTCGGCACACATGTGTTTGACATTTCTGTTTTCTGCGGAGGTAAGTCCCGCATCAATCTAACTTGATGAAAGCTTTTAAATGAGAAGTGACATAGGATAGCTACATTTACAGATAGTGTCTTATTCCAAATGTCAAAGATGTTCAATCTCCCACCTACGCACTTGGGTGAGTGCCCTTAATAGGCGTAGTGTACTATTTTTTATATAATACATGAAATGAGAAGGAATTTATGTGTCATCAAGTTGAGATGAAAATTTGATGAATGACCGAACCCCTGGAGAGACCAGTGGACGCATCTTCAATAAAAATTCAAATGAAATTGAAGGAAGTAAAGAAGGGAAAAAATGACTAACTGCTTGGAACAAATGAAAAAGTAAACATTTTCTTAAATTTAGTTTTAAATTAAAATGTTAATAAATTCTAACACAATCAATCATCCTAAATTTGTTTGCAGAACAAAGTAATATAAGCCATTTTGAACGATGAACTTATGTTTTAAAAGGTATAAGGCTTTTGAACATTCCTAGAAGCTCCTGGTGAGAAATATTTTGAACTTGTTTGAGTTTCAAATGTTTTAATTTAAAATATAACATTGTGGTTCTGAATAACTAAATACTAAATAATATGACGACGTCGTCATTCGACCACAATTCAAAATAGCACTAATAATCCATTTGATGATCCTAGATTAGTTGAATAAAATCGAAATCTAATATTTTACTTTTACAGAATAAAATTTCTTGTTTTGCAGTTTAAATAAGTTAATTTCAGATTTTTAATTTTAAAAAAAGTAACGCTCATAATTAATGTAATGAAATAATTTCAATCACGAAAAATCAAATCAGTCATCTTCAGCTGCAATCGAGAATTCGGGACTAGTGATTTATAAATTCATTGATAAAAGCTCTATTTCACAGATTAAAGAATACTCTGAGGCGTAGTAAAAAATATTGCTCTCGAGGCAGGATATAATTGTTAAGGGAAAGAAGTATATGTCCAAGTGTAGTCCTCATATTAATTTTATATTGGTTCGTAATAACAATGCTCAATGCTTATGCACAATGTAGTTTCAGCACAAAAAGAGAGAGTTAGGGGTTTTAAATTATAAAATATAAACGCAGTCATTCTTTTGTTTCCCATTTCTCAATTCCTACTATTAGTTCACTCTCTCCCTATATATATATATATATATATATATATATATATATCTTACTCAAATTTTCAATCGTTAATAAAAAACTTTCTATTCATCCATCCAAGTTCGAATGTATTTTTTTAAACTTTAGAGGAACACTTGATGTTTATACAGTTTTTTTCACATATTAATTCATTAATTAAATTTAAAAATTAATAAATAGTAACAAAAATAATAATCGAACAGCATATATAGAAAAGAAAAATCGTTCGTTGTGTCCCTGTAGAGCAATAAAGAGCGCATTGGACTCCTAATCCAAAGGTTGTGGGTTCGAATCCCACCTGGGATGGCTTAATTTTTGAGAATGTTATTTTTTTTACTGTACTATTTTATGAGAATAATTGAACTTAATTAATGAATAAAAAGTAACACACAAAAAAAATAGTCCAACACCATATATAGAAAGGAAAATGGAAAATTGCAAGGAAAATCGGTTATAATATTGTCACTTATAATATTGTGATTCTGTGTCCTATGTATATACATATTTATATTAATTGTAACTATTTAATAAGAAAGTAACTAAAATAATTTTCTTATTTGCTGACCTAAGTCGGAATTGACTGAAATTTTTTTTTATTTAACTTGTTATTACTCTGATAACGCAGTTTCTTAATGAAATTATGGACACACTGAAGAAATAAAATCGTTGAGCAAAAATCTTTAGTAAAGGTCTATCCACAATAGAAACTCGACACATATTATTTTTCAAATATGTACATATGATTAATGATAGAAACGTTCCGCATGAACTTTCACCACCAAGTGTTATACATGTTCCGTTACAGCCGATTTAACTGCTGCTGCTTAAAACGCATTTTAATCTATTCTGGATTGAGGTAGTGTCAGGTAGTCCAACTTCTTAAGGACTTAAGCGCATATTTAGTCAAGTATTCTATCATTTTTTTTTTATTGATGGAGAAGGAAAAAAAAGTGTTTTTCGATACTTCACATCAGATAAAACGAAAGTTGAATGGGTACATAATTTGGTTAAACGGACGAGTTTCGCTTTTCCTTCTCTTCTGAGTTAGGGATGAGTTCTTTTTTTAAAACACTAATTTTTGGAGGTGAAAGTATTTTCAGCATAAAAGTATTCAATTTTATGCTTGGGTAACTCCCCTTTGGCACTTTTGGTGGCAATTTCGCAATTAAAATACTCAAAAAAGAAGACTACAATATATTGTGTAAATTTTGGATTAATAGTTTTACACATCTTATATTGCTTGAATATCTGGAGACTTAAGATTGCATCGTATCATACTCAACAACTCAGTAAGTGAGTGAATATTAAAGTCACGTTGTTCAGTTACACGAGGGCTTTTGACGACGGACATCATAATTTTGACTCAACAACTCAAACTTGGAATCTTATTTCAAAAGATAGCAAGGGCACTGTGTTTATGGTCATGAACTCGTGGCCGGAGTGTCACAGGTTTCGAGTCTGAGTGCCAGGTGTGATGCCACCATGTAGAGGGTCGATGCACGTTAAATCTACAAAGGCTCAATGTTTTCCCGTTGGTGTAGTGTGATATTTGAGAGAAAGATTATGTTAGCTCGGGTGTCGTTCCTGCAACTTGACCGAGGTTCAAAATTACGAGATCTGGTGCCAATAACCCCAGTGCCGCTTTATAGTGCGACGTTGAAATAACTCTCAATCTCCCTCATTCACTCAAAATATAGCTAAGATGGAGTAGGTGTAAATTAATTTTGGTTATTTCTCTTTATAATAATTAAAGAATTTCATATTTAATTGGGAGTTTTGGGTTCGTGTTTATTTTTTGTGTTCATGTCTAACCCAGAAGAAATGAAACCTTTTGTCTTTAGGACAGTATGAACGTCAGAATAAATATTCTGTGAAACAAGATGGATATGTTAAATGTTATTCTCAAATAATTTTTCTTATCGTAATTTGTAATATTAATACAATTTTTTTCTTTTTTCCGTAACAAAAGTTTTTACAAAAATTCAATCTGGTTGTTTTAGTAATCAAATACATTTAAATAGGGACCACTAAAGAATCATTTCATATTTTCTTCTAAAACGCGAAACCCAGAACCATAAACACATTTGTATCTTTAGAATCTACATGTTGCTCGTGTATGTACAATAAACCAATTTTGGTTATCAGCACTAAATATAATCCAAATTTGTTTCCGAAAATAAAATTTTTTAAACCGAAATACTTGGGAAAGAATAGTGACAAAATATTTACGAGAGGTTTGTATATCAGCAGTACAATAATTCAAGACAATTTAACGTGTTCTTACACTGGTTCACAAACCTTATCCATTCTTATAATCTAAATGCTCGACACAATATTAATTGGTTCTTAAGAAAGAGCTCCATTATTTTATAAACCTCATCAAACGAACTAACAACTAATTAGGTCTCCGGAACTAAAGAATGAGAATGTGTCATGCATATAGAGTTATCACAATGTGATCGAAATCAATAATGGCCTTAAGTTGTTGGTAAAGAAAGGTATTCAGGAAGGCAGTAGCCGTATCGGAAGCGTACTCTAGGACAGCAGAACTGAAAGTAAATCGTCCTCAATCACTGTAAAAGGATTAGAAAAAGCGAAAGCGAGGCCAATTATTCCACTTCATGGCTCATCGGTTATTCGAAAATAAAAAAGAAGTAATTCATTTCGATGTCAAATAACGTGTTTTTACGACAACGCGTGGCTATTTTTATTATGTATCCTAATGATTACGAAAGGACCTAACTATGGCTTAATATATCATCCTTGGAGCGTGTACATTATTAAATTGCTGAAAAATCCTTGGGCATATCTTGGAACCGAAAAGGATAGGTTAAAAAAGTGTTAATTTAATTTTACCAAAACGCAATCATTTTTCGAGAAATTGGATACGCTTCTAGAAAATGATCATTTTTCAAAAAAAAAAAAAAATTAATCATTCTAGGTGTACTTGATAGCACTGAGCATCTTCTAGTTTGGAGAAATGTTTAAATAATGGCATAGACCCCTTTAAATGGTTACCATAAGTTCGAACCTTAACTATATGAGGAAGTGGCTCCTTGAAATTGAACTGGATGGAAAGCAGCAAAAAATTCACGACGAAATTGACAGAAAACTTTAAAAACATATTAATGTGTATTTCAAGTAATTTTTTACTTAAGATTTCTGGAGTGTTTAAACTTTGCTCCATCATTACTACATAGAATTTTCATTTCATGAACGAAAGTTTTTCACACATTGTAGAACCATCAATTGAATTTAAAAAAATACACTTAGTACTACGTAGTACTACAATATTGGGTAAGAGTTACTATATAAGTCTCTTCCCTGCTCATACAGTTCAATAACATCATTAATGCAACAACAAAAATTGAAATAAAAAATCTTAAGAAAAAAACCTTTCAAATTTTTGAAATTTATCCTTAAGGCACTAAATTATTTGCAAACAGGAAGACACCAATGAAGGAAAATTTAAAGTAGAAACCTTTTATTAAAATGGGTTGATACCTGTTGGGAATATACCGACTGAAATTTTTTGCAGAATATCACAATTACCCAATCCCTGCCAGTCTTTTACGTATCTGACGATATATATTGCAGGCGTGTAACTCTTTCCAGTGAAATGATTAGTTAAGGCGATATAGTACCATCTTCACAATTTTTTTATTTTTAATATTTGATATTTGGTTTTAACTGTGTTTTATATAGGTTATTATTTAATAATAGAATTATTTAACAAAAAAATTTTAATTTGTTGCAAAAAATGTTTGTAAAATTTAAATTTTTTGAACTTCTTAAAACACTTTTTAAATCCCTAAGGCCTTTTCAAAAATGTTTCTTTTCTTTCAAAATTTTTTCCTAGTACCTTATAATGTACTACATAAAACTGTGCATGGGTTTTTTTCTGCTGCTGCTCTTTAATTTCTTATTAATTTTCTTATAGTTAACTTCAAAAAATTCTCAAAAAAACATTAATTTTGACTTTGGAATTTCTTAGAAAAAGTACTAAACATGTTAGAGCTAATTCCATGCACTGTTTTTCAAAAAATACATTTCAGAACATGTATAAAAAATTTCAAACCCATGCTTCAATTATCAAAAAAGCCTTAGGGTTTTGAATAATACTATATGTACAAAAACTCAACATGGAGAAAAATGAGTTTGAAGCTTTCATTTCATGAATATAGCATGATATAATATTCATCTAATAGTCTGAAACTTTTATAAAATGTTAATTAGCTTATTTAAAACTGCTTACCATAAAAATTGCACAAATATAGAACAATTAAACAGTATACTGCTATAATGAATATATAGAAGAAAACGAATGAAAGATCAATATTTCATAAAACTTTATCTTAATAATTATTAAAAAAATAAATACATACACTTCAGAGCTAATGCACAACATGTACAAAGGATGTTTATGCCTTTATTTTTTATTTCCATGATTTTAAAAGCCTTCGTATGTTAAATATTGTGCACAAATGAAAGCAAAATCAAATAACAATTTTTATAGGTAAAATATATCAAAATCTAAAAACTACATCTGTGCATGGATGGATTCACACACATGGAATATATATATATATATATATATATATATATATTACCAAAAACAAATACATAAATATGGGAGAGTTTTTCTATTCTTGCGAATTAGATTTTTAATTATCTGAGTTATCAAAATGAGATTTAGTATTTGTGCTTTGGGAGAATCGGCTTTGAAGTTTTAATTTCATTCTTAATAATATCATAAAAAGCACGCACAACTTTTAAATCTAGACCAAATCCATTTGCTCTTCAATAGACATGAATTGAACAATCCTTTCTTGAAATGATTTGTTACTGCATAGATATAATGTCAGTCTCATTTATGCGCAGTAGAAAAATAATCAATTGATTTTTTTATCAGGCTCTTTTCTAGAAGATAATCTGAAATGTGGACGTGGTAGTTGCTATCCAGCATCAAATATTGCTTCATAACTCGATAAAAAAGGCAAGTAAAGCTTTGAAGTTTTTCAGGCGTGTTTATAAAGATTCGAGGTATCAAATAAGCCAATAAAAAATTTTTCGACAGTTTAATGATTTTTAGGGTACCATATCGCCTTAAAAGGACACATAAGCCGTAATTATAAATTACAAATAAAAATTGATTTCTTCAAAATTATTGAATGTTTTTTTTTTCTTTCAAAAATTAAATGATTCTTACCTGTATTGATCTGGAAATGTTATGTCACAAATACAACATGTGCGATCTTGGTTTTGAAGTTCTAGTGAATTGGGGGCTTGTATTCCAGAGCTATCAG